CCCCAAAACCCCAAAACCCCAAAACCCCAAAACCCCACTTCGAATTAATATAATTTAAATAAGTTCTTTTAGAAAATGTACCGAGGAGGGAAAGATTATAGCTATGCTGACTTTGCAAGGGATAATGCAAAACCAGGGTCATATCTGGAGATTAATGGCAAGGTAGAGATGGATGGAGGCATGGGAGCTGGATATGGACAGGATTTTAGCCAACCTTCCATGCCAGGGTATTCTAGACCTCCACAGAATAGTTATCAAAAGAATGATAAAGGATACGGGTCTTCGAACTTTCGTCCCAATTCTAATGAAGAAATCACAGAAGCAAGGCAGAGTTTGGTGCTGTTGAAGTCGAAAATGAAAAATAAAACTACTAATGGGTAAGTTTTGTAGAAATTTTGAATCGAATTTTACTAGGAAAACTGCAAATTAATATATGTCACATCATTACGCAATGAGCGCTAAATCATAATTTGAATAGGTTCAGAACAAGTGCTTCATCCAACATGAGTCAGAATAGTGTTCAATCTACCGGAGCAAGTGGAGGAGGCAACTATAGAAAAGTCTTCAAACCTAATTTCGGAGATGATAGTGGACCTTCTACTCATTCTGCAAGAACTGCAATGAGGCAGAATTCTAACAGTTATGGGCAAGATCCTGGAAAACCTCTAGTGAAGAATAGACTTCCAAAGAAAGCTCCTTATAATTATAGAGGAATGAGTAGAGGTGAAGAAGACTCTGAGTATCATCCCACTGAAAGAAAATCAGGCATGAGATCAAGTAGAATCTCAGATTCAAGGGAGAGGACCAAGCCAAATATTGGATCAATGAGAGGAGGAGTTAATAATGCTTCAAGAGCAAGCCAGGAACCTAAGAATAGCTATGGAGCTCCTAAACCAAAGCCTGCTCGTGGTCCTCCAAAGCCTGCTCGTGGACCTCCAAAGTTAAGTCAAGGTCCTACTAAACCAACCCGAGGTCCTACTAAACCAACCCGAGGTTCTACTAAGCCAACCCGAGGTCCTTCAAAGCCTAGTTATGGGGCCCCAAAACAAAGCTATGGTGATACATCACCTTCTATCCCAACAACAATTGGAGGAATGTCACATGATGAGGATACTGGAGTAAGAGGCGGAGGAAAGAGAGCTGCTGATATCTACAATGGTGATTTCGGTGATGAAGCTTATGAAAGACCCCAAGCACTAAAGCCATGTCCAAGCTGAGGTAAAACTTTTAATCCAGAATCCCTTGCTAAGCATAAGAAGGTTTGTCAAAAAGTGTTCCAGTCAAAGGCCAAGAAATTTGATACTTCGAAGCAGAGATTAATTGATGGAGAACATAAGGAGATAATGAGAGATAGAAAGAGAGAAGAAAGAAAATTTGGAGGTCTCAAATCAAAAACAAAAAGATCAGCAGCTATGCCAGGCTCTAAGAAATCTAAATGGGCAAAACAGAGTAATGCATTCAGAAATGCAATGAGAGCAGCAAGGGGAGCCAAACCGTTAAATGAAGGATTTGGAGGAGATCCTGGAGCCTTTGGAGGTGCTCCAGATGAGGATGACGATTTGGTTCGTTGACCAACATGTAATAGAACTTTTAACGAAAATGCAGCAAAAAGACATATTATTAGCTGAGCTGAGAGAGCCAAACAAGCAGCAATGAGAGCAGGACCTCCTCGTAAGAAGCCAATGGGAAAATTTAGATAAATGAATTTCAACAATAAAGTAAGGAGAAGGGGTTTTGGGGTTTTGGGGTTTTGGGGTTTTGGGGTTTTGGGG